CCACTGTGTTTTTAATCATCTTACAATTTTCATTTACGTTATATTTTCTTCATGTACACTGTGGGCTATTTCCACTGTGTTTTTAATCATCTTACTAATATCTTCTTGCATGAAAGCCTGTAAGACAGCTACTTCATGCCTCATGCTTTAATACCCCCTTATAAATAATTTCAGATTTTCCCGTCCCTAACACACCAGTACACTTGAGGGAGTAAGCCTGACCTTTTTGCTGAAGAATCCTCGGCCAACTTGTTGACTTAAAGTTTCTGAATCCACAAGCAAAGTCCAGTCCAGAGTAAGCTAACGGCTATTTTTATTGTGTACAATGAAATGGTGGCATATTAACTAAGAAAGTACACTCTGCAGTCAATCTGTCTAGATCCAAATCACTGCTCTACCACTTACCAGCTGTGTGACTACTGACAAATTATTTTCACTTTTTGTCCCTCATTTCCTTATTTGTAAAATAACGTAATACAGGCAGTGCTTGGACTATGTATAACCAACTTAAAGATGATTCCTATTTGTCCTTTAGTATTTTGTAAATTTGCCCTCACATGGAAAATTCTGGACCAACTCCTTACACGGAAACAACTCTATATCACAATCACTTTCACCCTGATGCACATAACTGCTTTAAATCAATGAAAAGGCTTTGAGTCTTATACTAACTGAAAAATCAAACTCAGTGCTACTGAGTTAATACCAACTCCTCCTGACCCTGCAGGGGTCCCTGTCTGTAGCGTCTCCAAGGGGCCAATCTTTACTTAAGCTGACCGCTTCATCTTTCTCTCAGGAGTGGCTTCTGGTCTCAACTACTCATGTTTTGATTAGTAGTCAAATTCTTTAATTACTCCATCACCAAGATTCTTTTTTCCTGTAGACGGAACAGTATATACCTACACTGACTAATCTATAAAGTCTTAAAGGCACAGTAGAAACAAATCTCTTTTGTGTCCCAGGAACTTCTTATATTATCTACCATAAAAACTATTTTGAATTTAAGATGAGTCAAGATGAAAATTATTTCACAAAGTGCTTTACACTCAATGCATACTCAAGTAGTTAAACTTACTAGATAAAATTTAAAACTAAAGAACATAAAGTAGAAAATTCTACTCAACACATAATAATAAAATAGAAACATTAGTTTCCAAACTCTTGCCAGAATTAAGGTTGCATAAAGAAGTGTACTCGGGGTGGGGGGAAGGGACGTGGGAATTGTATACTAATGAAGGAATTTTTTTCTTTTTCTCTCTTCAGAGGGGGAAGCGAGCTGGTGGGGAGGGGTGGGCAGGGAGAAAATTGTGGCAATGAATGAATGGAAATCCAAAACCTCTGTAAAAAATAAATAAATAAATAAAAATTAAAAAATTTTAAAAAAATAAAATGGAAACAAAGACATAAACAAAAAATATTCAGGCAAACTAAGAGGAAAAAAATGGTAAAGAGGACAAGAATTTCCATTTTCCTGGACAACTGTTTGTATTGTTGCTATATGTTGTTGAGTCAGAATCAAATCACAGCTTACTCTCCAGTGAGTTTTCAGAGGCAATAATAGCACAGGGGGAGACTTGTCAATTTTCTTCCACAAAGCCGCCAGTGGATTAGAAATGTGGGCTTTTGGGTTGCAGTGTAGCTCCTCACCACTAGGCCACCAGAGCCCCCATCCTGAAGACTAGTATTAAGAATACTTAGAGGCAGGGTTAGGTGTAGCTTCTCTGTTAATCTTGGGAAGTTAAGCTATCTTAACCAACCTGAAAACATGAATTAGAGAAATTCTAAAGACATAGTAAATAGTGATAGTTAAATGTTAGACTGCAAACACTTCCTTACCTCAAAGTCGTCATCATCACCTTCAGTGTAATGTGCATGGTTGTCTGGATTGTTCACTTTGTCCAATAGTTCAACTGCTAGGGCTCTAGAAAGACCAGGTTGCCCGACAAAAGTATGCTAAGCAAAAATGAAATAAAATTTTATGTCTTTACCACTCTAATGTGTATAAAATATTATTTGTGTTTTTATATTTACTATCAGACACATGCATGTGAGAATATGTGAAAATACATTAGCAAAAATGTTAACAGAGTATCAAGAACTCTATACTTTAACTAAAGAATCTTTTTTCCCATAAATTTATACAAATTCTCATTAGTTATAGAATCCATATCACAGGCAAAATATTAGCCATAACTATACTAATGACATTAATTACTCACATCATTATACTGATATTTAAGTATTACTATGCTGTTATGTCTCAATGAGTTGGAATTTATTCATAGCTGACTCTCCAGTAGGTTTTCAGATACAGTAAGTCACACAAGAGTTGACTCCCCATCTTTCTCTTGTGGAGTAACTGGTCGATCTGAATTGCATGCTTTTGGGTTGGCAGCACAATTTCTTAACAGTAAGCCAACAGAGCTCCCTCAAATAAATACTATGTCAGTCTAATATCAAAACAGGGGGGAGTAAAGTATGTGTGTTACTAGGCTTACTTAATTAAAATTGTATTATAAAAAAATTTATTTGTGTGTGTAGATATTACAACATTGAAAAAAACTCTTGGATATTGTAATCACTGACTTACTAATACAAAAGTATGTTAAGTATACTAATACACAGAGTATTTTGTAAATTTACATAAAAAGTCAAGAAAATTCATTTTAGGTGAGAGTAACATTTTTAAGAGCTTTCTTTTAGGCAAGAGTTGGCATGTAATAGTCCATGGCCAAAATCTAGTGCAAATGAAGATTTCTTTGTAAGTGAACTTTTATTGGAACACAGCCATACTCATTCATATGTGCTCTACGGTTACTTTCATACTCAATGGCAGAAATGAGTAGCTGTAACAGACATACAAAGCCTAAAATATTTACCATCAAGTCCTTTACAGAAATTGCCAACTCCTGTTTTAAAGGTCATTAATATTTTTATAACAAAAAACGAAACGCTTTTGTTCTAATAATAGGCTAACTGCTATCTGACAACAGGAAACCCCCCTAAAATTTCAATGACTTACAGTCAGAAGTCTTTCAGCAGTTGGTCTTTTTTTGGGGTTTTTAGTTAGTGCTATTTTGACAAAATTATGGAACGTTGATGACCTTCAAATAAAAAGAGACATATACAAAAACATTCCACTACTATTAGGTTTGTTGTATTACTAAGTAAAATTAACTTACAAGCAGTCAGAAAGCCTGAAAACAAAAACAAAAACAAAAAACCAAAAAACATGGTTTTCTCACCAAGGCTTCTTCCACTATCCATGCCAAAAAAACTAAACCCCAATCATAGTGTATTACCTGGAAACTTTAAGTAGTAATAGTAGTGTAAAACATCTGAGAATATATTCATTAGATAATGAACACATAGTAGACTGAGAGAAGGAAACAATTACACAAAAAAGAAAAAGAAATGGATAGACTCATGATTTATAATCCTATCTTCTAGGTACTACTAAGGAATCAAAATGAGCCTTTCTCATTTCGTAATTTATAAAACATATGTGTGCTCTTACTACATCGGAACAGTTGGTTAGATGCTACGAAGTAGGTGGCAATGCCTTAACCATATGTGTGTTGTAAGGGCCAGCAAGATCCTCTTCCATCCTTGTCAAGGGGAGTGTTAACCTCTATCCTTTCATACAACACTACATCAGAACAGTTGGATGGCATGGAAATAGAGTAGATAAAAAAGACTACAGTATTTGTATCATAGAAAAGGACAAAGGAAGAGGAACAAGATAAGCAATCAAAAGTTTTCTAGCTACCTGCATCCATTAAGTGGAAAAAAGGAAAGGGCATATAGCATAATTAAAGGAATCATGTTTTATTAATTAATAACAAAGAGGTATATTGCTACCATTGTCAAAATTCCACCAGAGAAAGATCTGGCATAGTGAATTCTCTGTAGAGAAATCAAATTACTGCATTGCACTTGGTAGCTCATCTGGCAGAGAGAGCATAGACACAGACAGTATCTGAGTCTGATAAAGCCTCTCCTTTGGTGTTAAGAACGGCACTTAAGGAATCTGACTGACTTGACTGCTTATAGTTACTCATTTCTCACTGTCAAGTCTTATCATTTTAGATGCCTAGGAACATGTAAGTACAGAAATATAATGAAGCCAGCGTCAATATAAAATACAGCTAAAAATAGAATATTTATTCTTTGACTCTCACTATGTGATTTGCCTTTCACTCCAGGCATCATCCACAGAATGATCTGGTTCCTAAATAACTCTATGCATCGGCAGACCATTGAATACCACAGACTGCTAGGAGAACAAACAGGTTCATCCTGAAAAGGGTGAAACCAGGCTGCTCCTTGGAGGCAAGGATTCTGAAGCTTTGTCTGACATACTCTGGAAATGTTGCAAGGAGGGACTAAAACCAGTCCTTGGAGAATAACATGGTGTTTGGGAGGGGTGAGGGAAAGCACAAGAGGAGAAGACCCAAATAAAGATTGCCCAATATAATAATAAAAATAAAACCCCCCAAAAATAAAACCATGCCAAAAACAAACAAAAAGAGAGAGAGAGAGATACCCCATTAGATGGACTGACTCAGTAACCGGGGTAATGAGGGTAGAGATGTCAGAGACAATAAGGTTGGCTCAGTGTAGAGCAGTGTTCAGACCTGTTGTACACAGGGTTGCTTTGATTTGCAAGCAACTCGACAGCACATAACAACATAGGCAGACCAATAACACATTAAATAACTGAGAACTTTTTTTGGAGGGAGGAATCTTTTAGAATCTGAAATAAGTTAGGGATACCCTTTCTAGGAAAAAACCTAAATATAAATATAGACTTCTGGGGACTTGTGGACTACCAAGAACATTTTCATTAACATTGTGTCTTTTATTAAATATATGAGGAAGGTATGACCAAAAATTTAATTTTTATAATTCTATTGATACTACCATTATGGACTATAAGGATAAACAAAATACTTCACTTTGTATGAGAAGGAAGAGAAGAGGATTAAAAGATGTATTTTCTCAAATATTGGGCAAAGTAAAGAAAGAGTAGTAGAGATTAAATGTCATGATATTTGGGACACGTTTTCATATCACTTCTGAAAGTCACCATGTAAACTGGATTAAAACAATGCAATTCATATACAATTAAGTTTCCAAAAATCTTAAAGCATCCGTTTTTTGTATATTCTTCTCACATGTTCATGTCCTCGTAAGCCTTATAGTCAAACTGCGAAAAAACTAAGAAAATTATTTTTTGAGTGTTACAGGAGGTAGTAGTACAGGTAGATGACAAAGGAGTGGGGGCAGGGGAGGAACCTAGATCCTTGCCATAGCTCAGCAAGTAAATTGCCTATGTAACATTGGGCAAACTGCACAACGCCTCTAAACTTCAATTTTATTATCCAAAAATGAAAAATCACAACCTGTGTTCCATGCAACTGTAAAATTGTATAAATCTGAATATACTCTAACTCACCACTTTGTTTTGTCCTTTAGCTTTGGAGGCTGAAAATTACTTTTTGACATTAAGAAGAGAGCTCTGAAATGAAAATTTGAGTTAAATAAAATTAATACCAGGATACTTGTATTAATACATCTAGTAATAACAATGAATCTTTTAGTAAATTTAGTTATGTAGGTAATGATTAAAACTGGTACAAAATAAAATTTCTTAACATTTTAGACAGTTCATGAAAAATTATTCTATTATAGAGATATTTACATATGAAATGAACCGCTACACAGAAGACAAAGTTACTATATCTTGTTATGTTGTTGTGTACGATCAAGCTGGAATCGACCCATAGCTGTCCCACCAGCGAGTTTTTGGAGTTAGTTAATTGAATGGGAGAAGACTGCCAATCCTTCTCATACAGAACAGCCAGTGGATTCAAACCACATGCCTTGGGGTTTGCAGAGTAGTTTCTTAGCACCAGGCCACCAGAGCCCCCTACTACATACATATTGCATTGTTTTCTTTACCTGTGTATCTAGTTTTATACTTTAAACACATATCTTAAAAAATAACCTATCATTCTTTAACACAGAGATATTGTTACTCTAATATTAGGGTGATTAGTTGGTCAAAGATTATTTTGTGTGTATAAGTGAATTCCACCTATTTTCTGTTTTGCTCTTTTTTAGAGAGTTGTTTGGTATCATTAAGTTGACAACTCATAGCAACCCTATGAACAATGCATCTGAATCTGGTCCTATCATGTATTCTCATCACTCTTATATATTACATGAATGATATAGTCAGCCTGAAGATGAACTTTCTGTTCTATGACTTGACCTTGGCCAATTTTCCCATGGATTATGTAGGCAGAAGAATGGAGGTTACAAAAAAAATGTTCGAAAACTCCTTTCAGATTTCTAGGGAAACTTTTTAGTTTTTTTTAAAAAAAATTTAAAATTCTCTTTGGTTATTAAATTATTCATATATAAATTAGGCCAACTGCTAACTGTGGAATAGACCATCAACTACTCACATGCAAGTTCAAACTAAAGTTAACAAAAGTTCAATCAAATCCACAGGAATCAATATTTGACCTTGAGTCTGTCCCACCTGAATTTCAAAACCACCTTAGGAACAAGTTTGAAGCCTTGAACACTAATGAGTGAAGGAAAACCAGATGAGTTGTGAGAGGATAGCAAAAGTATCATCCATGAAGAATCAAAAGGTCATTACAAAGACAGAGGAGGAAGAAAAGACCAAGATGGATGTCAGAAGAGACTCTGCTATTACACTAGAATACCAAAAAGCCAAAGCAAAGGGAAGAAATCAAGACTGTAAAGAGTTGAACAGAAGATTTAAAAAGGCAGCACGGGAAGACAAAGCAAATTATTACAATGAAACATGCAACAAGCTGGAGTCAGAATATCAAAAGGCCGGACTCGCTCAGTATGTCTTAAACTGAAAGATCTGGAGAACAAATTCAGACCTCGAGTTTCAACATTTAAGAATGCAGGATATTAAATGATTCAGGAAGCATTACAAGAAGATGGAAGGAGTAGACAACCTACCAAAAAGAACTGGCTGTTTAATGAAGAATTTCATGAAACAACATATAATCAAGAGCCTGTGGTGATGAAGGAGGAAATTGAAGCTGCTGTGAAGGAACTGGCAAAAAGAACAAGCACCCAGGAATTGACAACATACCAAATGACATGTTTCAACAAACAGATGCTACCCTGGACATCCTCACCAAGTAGTGCCAAGAAACCTAGAGGACAACCACCTATCTATTCCCATACCAAGAAAAGGTGACCCGACAGAGTGTATAAATTATTAAATAATATCATTAATATCAAATGCAAGCAAGATTCTTCTGAAAATTGTCTGAAAATGACTAAAACAGCACATCAACAGAAAACTTCCAAATGTGCAGGCTGGGTTTAGAAGTAGCTATGGTATTAGGAGTATTATAGCTAATATTAGACAGATCTTAGCTGAAAGCAGAGAGTGCCAGAGGAATCTCTGTATTTGATTCACTATACCAAAGGCATTTGACTATGTGGATCACAACAAACTGTCTAACTCTGAGAGGAATGGGACTTTCAGAACACTTAATTGTACTCATGTGACCAGGAGGCAGTCATCAGAACACAGCAAGATAGTTAAATTTGTATCTTCTAGGCTGCAACACTTCCATGATACATCTTCAAGGATATGAACATGTACGGCTAAGCACAATTGATAACAGTGCATCTAAATTCCAAAATCAGTCTCCATAATAGTCTATGTGTTTCCTACTGCCAAGGGGGCCCTTTAGAGTAGTGAGAGAAGACATTCACCCTGAAAACCACAGCGTCCCTTTTCAGTAGGAAGTAGCTAAGAGAATACGCCATCCCCTTTTCCTTATGAATCAGGGTGAAGTCTCTCTCAGGGAGGAGTGATAGGGAATGGCAAGGGACACACTGACAAAGGAGATTAATCAGAACTGGCTTTGACAAGCACTGTGGCAATTGGACAACTGAAACAGACAATGGGGGGGGAGAAGAACGAACTGGGGAGGAGGGTGGAGAAAACAGTGCAACAATGAATGAATGAAAACCCAAAATCTCTGTAAATGTTCATTAAAACTAATAAAATTTAATAAAAAAAAAGAACACAGCAAGAGGAGACAATGCATGGTTAAAAATCAGGAAATCTCTGTGCCAGGGATGCATCCTATCTCCATACCTTTTCAATCTGTATGCAGAACAGATCATTCAGGAGGCTGGCTCTACGAGCAGGAGTGCAGGATCAAGACTGGAGAAAGACTAATCAACAACCTACATTATACAGATGACACAACTTTACTTGCCAAAACCGAGGAAGACCTGAGGCATTTACTCCAGAAGGTCAAGGACTGAAGCCTTAAGTATGGATTGAAGCTCAACATCAAGAAAACAAAGATTCTCACCACTGTGCCAAGTGGCACCATCATGATAGATGGTGAAGAGACTGAGACTGTTAAAGGCTTCAGTTTGCTTGGGTCCGTAATTAACACTCAAGTAGTCAAGATATCAAAAGACAAATTGCATTGGGAAAATCTGCTGTTTGGGACCTCACCAGAGTACTGAAGAGCAACGATGTCAGTCTCAAAACTAAGGTGTGCCTGATCCAGGCCACAGTCTTCTCAATTACTTGTTATGCATCAAAAAGCCAGCCAAGGACTAAGAATTATAGCAGGAGAATTAAGGATACCTTTCAGTTGTGGTGGAGAAAAGTACTGAATATAACATGGACTGCTAGAAGAACAAAAAGGTTCATCTTAGAGAGGGTGAAACCAGGCTACTCCTTGGAGGAAAGGATTCTGAAGCTCTGTTTGACATAATCTGGGCATGCTGCAAGGAGGGACGAGTTCTTAAAGAATGACATCATGGTTGGGAGGGTGGAGAGACAGAGCAGGAAAGGAAGACCCTGAATGAGATGGATTGACTCACTAAGGTAATGAGGGTGGTTGTGTCAGAGACTATGATGCTGGCTCTGGATAGAGCACGGCACACAACAACAACAACAAAGGAAATTGAAAAAGACCCAAATTCCTACTACCTTAAGATACTTAAAATATTCTGTTGGGTTGGTTTGTTTTTATAGATTTGAGAATATCTAAGTGCATTATAATAATGACTATGTCAATATTATATTTGGGTTTTTACTAATAATCATTTGTCTATACTGCCTTATCCTTATACCAGAGGGATGTGGTTCGAATTCACCAGCTGCTTTGTGGGAGAAAGATGAACAGTCTTTTCCTATGCAATTTACTGCCTCTAAAAATCTGCTACAGGGTCAGCTGTGAGTCAGGTCTAATTTGCTGGCGCATAACAACAATTAAGTAAAAGAACAGTTTCCCCACTCAGCTAATCTTCTTTTAAGTTTTATACCAAAGTTTAAATATTAACCCTATTAATAATTAAATAATTCTTCCACAGGGATTAAAAAACATAAATATAAATATTTATGTTAAAATGTAAAAATAATTCTAATATACACAGATCTCTTTTCATTATTCTCAAAGCAAAAACAAAACAAATCAAGAATATTAAAATAAAATCTTATACACATTTGTATAAAATTCTAATTAGGACAAAAATTAAACAAATTTAACTGATGCAAGTTTTTGTTACCAAAAACTTAATAAAGATCTTTTTATTGATAACTACTATCACTGAGTATGCTTATTAAAAAGACATTCCTTTCATGGAAAAACATCAAACAGAGTAGAAAACTCGGTTTGTGCTGTTTTAGAAGAGCAATGGCAGAAGAGGAGTTTTGGACAGGATTACCTCCTAAGTCCCTCATATTCTTTATTATGTTGACACAAGGCAACTTGAGCTCAGGACACCTAACTTATCTACTTACACTGTCCCAAAGATTTTATTACTAACTATGTAATTTAAAATAATGAGAACACCTCATTGGATGAAGATCAAACATAGGTGGCTGAAGTTCTCCAAGTTCGATTGCTGTTATTCCTACAGCCCAGATATCACAGAGCTGGTTGTAGCCACCATTCTTTTCCACTGCTGCAACTTCCGGAGCCATCCTAGAATGGGATAATACTGACACATAAGCTCAACCAAAACCTTCATATTATATATTTAAAAGCATACTTTTAAAAAAACCCCACACAACAAACCTAATGTTTTCTTATACTGGGAAGAAGGATCAAGATAAAATTCTTCTAGAAAATTGTGGAGAATCCCAGTAAGTATTACAGGGACTAGGGCCAAGCACCTCTACTTGTTTTTCCAGGAATGGGAGGGTAGAAATGATGGACTCATGTCTGCAAATAAAATGATCACCATGGAGAAAGATAACGGAGTGTAAATTTAACGGAGGAAAGATTATTAAGTTGGAGCTCAGGGGGGAAAAACCAGTTTCCTCTCCTCTGTCCACTAGAAATCAGTTGTTCATTATTAGGGGCTGCTGTGTTGACTCCAATACATAGAGAACCCATGTACAACAGAGAAAACCGCAGCCTACTTTTGCACCATCCTCACAATCACTGCAGTGCTTAAGTCCACTGTTGGTAGTCACTCTGTAAACCAATTTCACTAAATATTTTCCTCTCCTTTGATGACTGTACTTTTCCAAACATGATATCCTTTTCCAAAGATTGGCCTACTGGCATCTCCTGATAACATGCATAAAGTGTATGAGACAGAGTTCTATCATCCTTACCTCTACGAGGCCTCCCAAATGTATTTATTCCAAGACAGATTTATTTGCTCTGTTGGTAATCTACAAATATTCTCCAACACCACAGTTTCAAAGCATCAATGATTCTTTAGTCTTCCTTTTACACTGTCCCAATTTTCATATATACATATAGCAATTATGATTATACCATGGCTTGGGTCAGGTGTACCTCAGACTTTAAAAGAACATCCTTGTCTTTTAGCATTTTAAAGCAATCCCTGGCAAATCTGTCTAGAGTAACATATCTTTTAATTTCCTAACTGCTGTTTCAAAGGGTGTTGACTGTGGAACAAAGTAAAATAACTGACCACTTCAATCTTTTCTTCATTTATCATGACACAATCTACTGGTCTAGTTTTGAGGATGCTTCTTACTTTATGTTGAGGTGTTAATTCATGATTAAGCCTTTGTTCTCCATCAGTAAGTGCTTCAAAGCCTCTACACATTCAGCAAGAAAGACTGTGTCATCTGTATCCCGCAGGTGTTGATGATTCTTCTTCTAATCCATGGGTTAGCAGTGCAAAGCCTTAGACTATGCCAACAAGTCTTCCGCCAATACTGATGTCATATTCTTCTTCAAATAATCCAATACAGACTGAACAGTAATGGTAAAAGTTTATATATAACTCAGACACACATTTTTTCTACTTTTTAACCATGCAGTGTGAACTTGTTCTGTTTTTATGTCTGCTTCTTGGTTGATGGATAGGTTCCACATGACCAAGATTCACTGTTAGGGAATTCTAATCCTTCTCAATGTTACCCATAATTTATTATGATTTATGCAGTTAAATGATTTTGCACAGTCAAGAAAAAAGTTAAAAAAAAACACTTTTCTGTAATCTTTACTTTTAGTTAAGATCAATCTGTCGGCAGTAAATGTTATTCTTCATTCCCTGGGTTCTTCTAAATTCAGCTGAATTTCTCTGCTGATATATTGCAGCTCCATGAGAAATTATTTAGTGGTGGTTAACTGTAATGCAAATGACCAGGGCAGCTGTACTTTCTAGCACAGTGGGAATGAAAGCTTCTATCAATCAATGTGAAATGGCTGAAGAAAGGCAGAGATGGTATGCCATTCTTACATGAGTAGAGCTTAAGACAAACACAGGAAAAAGATATTCTAGGAAGGCAAAAAAGAAATTTAAATTCTGTATTATTTTATCTGGTATAGTCAGGACAACACACAAAAAAATTCTCAATGCAGCAGAGTTCAAAAGACAGGAAAGAATGAGGAGGGAAACGGCCTGAAATGAAGACAATTTCTATATGAAAGCTAATGTACCAGTGCTTTATTTAAGTGATCCTTACTGAGGTTTTTCCACTTTTGCTATCAAATATTCAGCTTTAATGGGTATTACTTACGACTTTATTCTGTGCTTTGTAAGAGAAAATTCACTGTATTTTGCATTTCTGATTAATCTTACATAATATTTTATAACTATTTCTAGTAAGATATTCTTACTGCTTTTTACAATATAAACCTCACTTATCATACTTGTGCCAAAATGTCCTAGTTTTTTACATGCTCTTTAGTCCTGTTTATGTCCAATTAAGCTGACTATATAATTTAAATTGATACCTATTTAAATTTTCTAGTGGTTGAATCTGTTGAGTCTCTTATGGTTTTATGCTTTTGTTAGGAAAATGTTTTCCTCAACTATCAAAAGAAATAACCATTGCTTTTGGCTACACTTTTATATTTAACATTTTACTATAAATACAGTTAATTTTGGCATTAGGAATGAGATATGAAGCCACTTTAAATTTCTTTCCAAATCCAAACATTATTACTTAAAGTAAATTTTAAATATCATCTTTTATAATATTTACAAGAATATTCTACATATTAAGGTCATTATTTGGATCAGTGTTTCATGGACTATACAAAGGCATTTGACTGTACGGGTCACAACAAACTGGCTGACTCTGAGAAGAACGGGAATCCCAGAACACTTGATTGTACTTATGCAAAACCTATACTTGAACCAGGAGGCAGTCATCAGAACAAAGCAAGGAAACACGGCATGGTTCAAAACTGGGAAGAGTATATACCATGGATGTGTCCTATCTACATACCTTTTCAATATATATGCAGAACAAGATTATCCAGGAGGCTGGGCTCTATGAGGAGAAATGTGGCATCAGGATTGGAGGAAGACTTGTCAACAATCTGCTTTATGCAGATGACATAATCCTGCTTGCTGAAACTGAGGAGGACCTGAAGAGCTTGCTGCAGAAGGTCAAGGACTACAGCTTTCAATATGGATTGAGGATCAACATCAAAGAAAACAAAGATTCTCACCACTGGGCTGACTGGCAGCATCATGATAGATGGTGAAGAGATTGAAACTATTCACAGCTTCAGTTTGCTGGGCTTCACAATCAACACTCTTGATACTAGAAGCCAGAAAATTAAAAGACAAATTGCATGGGGAAAGTCTGCTGTCAGAGACCTCAGAAAGTACTGATGAGCAATGATGTCAGTCTGGAGACTAAGGTGCACCTGATTCAGGCCATAGTCTTTGCAATTACTTGCTATGTATTAGAAAGCTGGACAATGACTGAGGATGATAGGAGGTGAATTGATGCCTCTGAGCTGTGGTGTGGGTGAAGAGTATTGAACATACGATGGACTGCTAGGAGAACAAACAAGTTTGTCCAGGACAGGAAGAAACCAGGCTGCTCCCTGGAGGCAAGGGTTCTGAAGCTTCATTTGACATACTTTTGACATATTGCAAGGAGGGACCAGTCCTTGGAAAGGAACGTCATGCTTGGGAGGGTGAAGGGACAGCACAAGAGAGGATGAACCTTGATGAGATGGACTGTTTCAGCGACTGGGGTTATGGGGGAGGTTGTGACAGAAATGATAAATGGCACAAGACAGAGCAGAATACAGGTTATTGCAATAGGGTTGCTATAAGTCACAGGCACCTCAATAGCACATTAACAACAACAACTACAACAACAACCACTATATTTTAATGTTCTTTATCTGTATTAATAATGAAAGTAGCCAAACAGTTTGATGCTTTCTTAGAAAGTTGAATATAATTATCATTTGATCTAGCAACCTCACTACTAGGTATATATCCCAAAGAAGTAAGAGTTGTGACACAAAATAATATATCCTCAAGTTTACTGCAGCAGCATTGTTTACAACAGTAGAGAGCTAGAAACCACCTAAATATCCATCCAACCAGATAAATGGTTAAAATTCATAAAATGAAAAATTGTGTCACTGAAAAATAATCAAGGATTTGTGAAATACCGCACAACATGGATGAGTCTAGAACAAACTATGCTGAGTGACATAAATTAGTCACAAAAATATTATAATAGCACAATTATAAAAGCAAAGGAAAGGGTTACATATAGAATCAATCTTAGAGTGACAATAGGGATGGTAAGAGGAGAAGGAATGAGTAAAATTTAAGATAAGCTGGGTTAAGGGAAAAGTAATATACAATAAAGGACAGATGTTTTACTTAATTACATTAATCAATGGAACGTAATATTATAAAACAAAATATCCATAAATGACTGTATCAACCTTGTAAACCTTGACTGAAAGAAAAGGTATTTTAGAAAGGTGATTGCCAATAATTGATAGGATCAATTAGAACTGGGAGTGGCTGGCACAATATAAAGGAGTCCTAGTGGTACAGTTAAGTATTTAATTTTCAACCAAAGGTTAGCAGTTTGAACCACCAGCAGTGGATAAAAACATAGGAAGTTCTCTCTATAAAGATTGTTGTTGATGTTTACCATAGAGTCAGAACTGACTCTTTGCTGACCCTCCAGTGGGTTTTCAGAGGCAGTAATCATATGGGAGAAGACTGCCCATACTGCTTCCACGGAGCAGCTGGTGGATTCAGACTATGTGTGTTCAAGACTGCAGTATAGATTTTTACACTAGACCACCAGAGCTCCCTTTCAGAAATACAATGGAGCAGTTCTACTCTGTCCTTTGTTGATATATATCATCAAGTAGGAAATGATAAATTGCACGGGAGGTGATTGTTTTTCTTCTGTAGAGCAGCTAGTGGATTCGAGCCCAGTACCTTTGGATTGGCAGTACAATTCCTTACCAGCAAGTAACCAGAGCTCCCTTTAGGATAGAGCCACTCAACACAACTCATTGCCAATGAGTTGGAATCAATTTGTAATTGATCCTCTAGTGGGTTTTCTAAATCGTAAGGGGGATCAGGATTATCTTGAAGGTAATGGATTTGATGAAGATAAAGGTAGAATGCTCTGGTAGCCTAGTGGGGAAAGAACTGTGCTGTCAACCCAAAGGAAGATGGCTCAAATCCACCAGCTGCTATGTTGTAGAAAGATGAATGATTTTTTGCAGTCTCTGAAAACCATCTGCTATGAGTCAGTTCTGGTGCAACAGCACAAAAAAAACCCAGTACTAATAGAGGTAAACGTTTTAACTACCAGAAGTTATGCTGTAGACTAAAAAAGAAGCAGTAATAAAAAAATTACAGGAAATAAGACCCAAACTCTCTAATGCAGTCAGAACTATGATAATATTAAAGAACATGTAAAGTTTTAGACTTTCAGTCAAGGCTCACTTGTATACCAAGTATCAAAGTGGATTACCAACACTAAACAATAATATATCAAATAGAGTAACAGTATGTCTTACCAATAAGGAGTACCAATAAAAGACTTTCTCTTTGCAATGGTTGCTGTTATTTTTGCAGCCACACCAAAGTCAGCTTGTAGGGGGAATATAAAAGGAAAATGATAGTTCTTATTAAGAAAACAAATAATATTCCTCAATGCTTACTTTAGTCCTGATATCATTGATAATTTAAATATTTATGGTAGGAAAATGTATGTAAATTGAGTATCTAATTCTCCCTTACTTGGTTCATGAGATATCTGATATTTGTTAAATGAGTTTCTGTGCATTTTACTAGAAAGAAAATGTACTTTATTACGAATAAAATTATTAAAATTGCTTTTAAGTATATTAAATGAACCTGGAGAAATGATGAAAGTCATGCACGCAAGCGTAGTGGACATTTTATTCATAGGGTTGCTGTGATTTGCCTACGACTCGACAGCACTTAATAACAATATTAAAATTAATTTGGGGGGAAAAAGGAAACATAAATGTACAAAGGTGCAATAGGCACTTTATTTCTGATAAACCAACTCAAGTTAGTATTTTTTATGCTTATAAAGTATAATTTTTGTTGTTATTAAACAGTTCTGTGAGACAATTAAATATTTTATTTGTCATTTAATATATCAAGAGATTTTCTTCTTTCATATTCTTCATTACTAATTTGGATGACAATAAAATTTTATTAAAAATGTATCATAATTTAACAGTTTCTCTATTATTAGATCAGTTTGCATTTCATTTTCTACTATAAGATATTCAAGAAGTGATTAATACTTTAGTGAATAAATACTATGAATCTTTGGAATGAATGTCTTTAAAGTAATAACTGTAAGTAGAATTACTGGGTCAAAAGATGATTATATGGCTCTGGATATAAATATTAAACATATATACTGTACATATTATCATTTTTGGAAAATACTTTAGGAGTTTGAGAAAACATACCTAATTTTACATCACCATGGTCTGTCAATAAAATATTTGCACCCTGAAAGAAAAATAAACACTAGTCACTTAGTACTACAAAACAGTTCTTCAAACAGAAAATGAAACAAGTTAAATGAACTTACTTTTATATCTCTATGCATTTTGCCTTTAGTATGTAAATAGGCAAGACCCTAAATAAAAAGGAATAAAAAGCATGGATTAGCTAAACTGCACATTAGGATAAATAAGTAATTAGAAACTCTTAGAGTGAAAAACTTTCTAAGGGTGTTTTTCTTCCTTTTTAAAAAAAATTTGTTATTAATTTCAATGAAAATTTACAGAGACTTTGGATTTCCATTCATTCACTGTTGCACTGTTTTTCCCTCCTAACCCTTCCCCCTAGTACACTACCTTCTTGGAAAAGGAAAAGAAAAATTCTTTCATTGTTTTACAAACCCTCCCCCAGGGCCACTCCACTATGCAACCTTTGCTCTGGACTCCTG